AGGTTTGTAGCTCACTTACCATATCCATACCATCTTTTAAACCTGATGATCCATATTTGTGGTACACTCGCCTAGAACACTACTTCCTAGCTAACCAAGTCACTGCTCAGACTACAAAATTTGGCTATGCAAGCTCCGTCTTACCGAACGGTATAGCAGAGCAAGTACGGGAGACGCTCATAAATCCAGATCCAGAAACTCCCTACGGTGTTTTAAAGCAGAAAGTTATTAAGGTTGCTTCATTATCAGATCAGAAAGCTATCGATCAGCTACTCAGCAATGTTAGCCTGGGTGATAGAACACCTTCTCAACTCAAAAGCCATATGTGTAACATTTTAGGAGATCGGAAGGTAGACACCAAGTTTTTATATCAATTGTGGATACGGCGGTCACCCCACAGCATTCAGCAAGTATTGGCATTTGGAGATGAAGACATAGATATTGACAAGTTGGCAGAAATCGCTGACAGAATATATGAACGGATGTCGCCACAAGTAACATCTGAAGTCGATAAATCGTCAAACGAACGCATAGAAGCCTTAGAACATAAAATAGACGTGCTCACCGGGCAATTAATGACAATGAGGATTGATAGACAACCTATTACAACGTACAGAAGACAGTGTAGCCACTCACGCAATATACGTAAATATAGCTTACAACAGACTATATGCTGGTATCATCGCAAATTTGGTGTACACGCAAAACGGTGCACACAACCATGTGCTTTCCAACAAACGGTTGCGTCGGGAAACGAAAAGGCCGGCGGTCGGTGACGACTGCGGTCGCTGGCCAACACCCGTCCCACAGCCGTCTATTCAGGGTGAAAGACAAAATAACGGGGGCACAATTCCTGGTAGATACCGGTGCAGAAATTAGTGTAGTTCCCCCAACACCCAGCGAACGCTTAGAACCAAACCCAGCACTAGTTCTTAAGGCTGCGAACAATTCTACCATAAAAACTTTTGAACTCGAAGGCAAAAACTTAATTTTGGTTGCAGTACAATATTTGAGTGGGAGTTCGTAATCGCCGATGTAACCTTTCCTATAATTGGAATGGATTTTCTTCAGCACTACCAATTGCTAGTCGACTCTAGTCACCACAGATTGATAAATGGCAGTCGTAAACTATCGATTTTAGGCATCTCCACAGATGTCGAGAGTATCCGCTTGATGGTAGCCACAGCAGATCAATTATCCACGTACGATATTTTGCTAAAGAAATTTCCTGAACTGACACAGAGCGATTACTCCACAGCCTCTCTCAAACACAACGTAACACACCATATTGTAACTAAAAGTCCACCTGTCGCAGCAAAACCACGTCATTTAGATCCAGCTAAAATGCAAATAGCAAAAGCAGAGTTCAACGGATTGTTGGATCGAGGAATAATACGACCGTCAAACAGCCCATTGTCATCACCACTGCATATGGTACCAAAGAAAAACTCAACAGAGATACGACCATGTGGAGATTATCGAGCTTTAAATAAGCAGACGATAGCAGATAGATACCCAATTCCGCACATCCATGACTTTTTTCATAACATGGCAGGTGCTCAGATATTTTCCGAAACTGACCTCTTTCGTGCATACTACCATATACCTGTCGAACCCAAGGACATCCCCAAAACTGCGGTAACCACTCCTTTTGGCTTATTCGAGTTTGGCCGTCTGCCATTTGACTTAACTAACGCAGCGCAAACATTTCAGAGATTCATTGACCAGGTCTTGCACGGCCTCACATTCACTTACGCTTATATCGATGATATATTGGCCGCAAGTAAATCACCTGAGGAGCACCATCATCACTTAGAAACACTCTAAACGTTTAGCCGAATATGAGATTGTCATCAAACCAAGTAAATGTGAATTCGGTAAGAAAACTATAAAATTTTTGGGACATCAGGTAGACAATCAGGGCATTCGACCGATAGCAGAACAGCTTCAAGTCATAAAGGAATACCCCATTCCAGATTCTTTCAAAAAGTTACACCGATTTCTTGGTCTCGTCAATTTTTATCGCCGTTTCATTCCTCACTGTGCACAGCTGGCCCAACCTCTGACAGATTTATTAAAAGGTCATGCAAAATCGCTGCACATGAGTACTTCAGCAATCGAAGCATTTGAAAAGCTGAAACAAACTCTGAGCTCAGGAACTTTACTAGTACGTCGTGACGTCAACGCTCCTATAGCGATTATGACAGATGCATCAGACGTCGCCGTCGGCGCAGTTCTTCAACAATTTTCTGCTGGGAAATGGCAACCTCTCCCCTTTTTCTCCAAACGTCTAGACGCTACTCAATCCAGATATAGTGCATTCAGTAGGGAATTACTTGCAGTCTATCTTGCTGTTAAACGTTTTCGTCATATGGTCGAAGAAATACCGTTTACCATCTACACAGACCACAAACCTTTAACCAAGGCCATGAATGCAGAGCACGATAAGTACTCGCCAAGAGAACTCCGACACCTCGAGTTCATTTCTCAGTTCACTTCAGATATTAGATTCAAGAAATAACATAAAATGAGGTAGCAGATGCGTTATCTCGCATCCATATAAGTACCTTAGAAAAAGACCAGTTTGATCTTAAAAATATGGCCAGACTGCAAACTATGGACGAGGATCTGAAAAGACTAAAAAATAGCACGATTACTTCTTTACGTTTGCAAGATGTTATGTTTGATGAAAACCTAACTATTACGTGTGATGTTTCCAAAGGTAAAGCACGTCCTTTTGTCCCACTAGAAATGCGAAGATCAGTGTTTTCCAAAATACATGGCATTTCTCACCCTGGCATCCGAGCAACAGTTAAACTGATAGGTGACCGATATATATGGCCGAATATGAATCGTGAGATTAAAGAGTGAACCAGATCATGTTTAGCCTGCCAAAAGTCAAAAGTACAACGACATACAGTCTCACCTAATGGCCAGTTTCCAGAACCTGATGGTAGGTTCCAACACATACACATTGACATCGTTGGACCGTTACCACCATCTAATGGCTTTACGTACATTTTAACGTGTATTGACAGATTTACGAGATGGCCAGTAGCTAGTCCCTTACCTGATATTGCCGCCGAAACTGTTGCAAGGAGCATTATACAAAATTGGATTTCCAACTTCGGAGTACCCAGCATTATTACTACAGACAGGGGTGCCCAGCAACTCACAGAACTACTGGGAATCAAGCGTATACGTACTACTGCTTGTCATCCCAGTTCAAACGGCTTAGTGGAGAGATTTCATCGTCAACTGAAAGCATCATTGATGGCACTGAAGGATGATGATAAGTGGAGCGATAAATTACCTCTTGTACTTCTTAGAGTACATTCGACAATAAAACAAGATATCGAATGTTGTCCATTAGAATTAGTTTATGGAACTACTTTGCGACTGCCTGGAGAATATTTCAACCCAGCTACTGAAGTTCCAGCTGACGAAACTACTTTTGCACAACAACTGAGACAACATATGAGCCTTTTAAGAAATCATCCGCCGCGACATCAGCTTAACCAAGCATACACGCCTCGAAAACTAGACGATTGCACTCATGTTTTCATACAACACGACGGTGTAAGGAAACCACTTCAACCACCTTATGACGGACCATTTAAAGTAATAAGCAGAACAAACAAAGTCATCACTATCGAACGCGGAGGAAAACACGAGAATGTAAGCATCGATCGCGCAAAACCAGCTTTCATGGAAATAGAGGTGACTGAATGTTTACGCAAATCAACATCACCTAAAGTTGAGCCACAAAATGAGTCCTGCTCTCAAGATTCAAAATCTGATGATATTCTGGCTAACAAAACAGAAGAATCACAAGATCAGGCAGACGAGTACAGTGGTCACAAAGATTTGTACAGACAATTTATTACAAATTCATTTCCATACTTCCTTATTACTGTACTATTAACTGTATGTAAGATATAAATCTATTCTGTAGCTCTTTACAATAACAGCCGCATTATTATTCTAATAATTTTTCTGGTTGTATTGTTACATTTTGCACAACTTTCTAAACATTTTGGTTTGTTTCAAAGTTGTTAACATTTTCGCATATATACAGTTATATTATCAAACCTCAGAAAACTTAAAATCCTCAATTCGGTTTTCATACCAGAAACTCATATTTTTTTGTTTCTTTATAATTGACAATTATATTCCGAATACAGCTAAACTTCATTTACCTGCATTCTACGGAGGGGCTATTGTAACCCATTGTAACCCATGGCTATTGTGACCCATTTTATTACTCATCATCGTAGTATACTTTCACTATGTAATTGGACTTTGATTTGTTTATCACTCTAAAGATTGCGTGTTAACAATGGATACATTTGTACTCGCTCAACTTTTAAATTTTGATTCATACGATAATACACGATCGTATTCCTTCGCAAGTGCCTTTTGATTTACGTTGTGAATGTCTAGTTAGGACACAATAATAAACGCGAAGAAGTACTGGGATATACTTGTACGCTAGTTTGGTCAAATAGAGCACTGCAACAAGTTCAAACGCTCAAATATCTTGGATATTGAAGTTGGTGGGACTGTAAACATTGCGTTGCACTAGCTCCTGATTTGATTTTGATTTTGATTACAGCTTGATTCCACGCTGATGGTAAGTTCAGTGTGACACTAATTTACGTAATTCAGGAATATCGCGAAATCGCCAAATATGTTTTGACAGGTTCACCAGACTGGTTCCAGTCAAACGTAGTGGCCGTTACAAATTGGCAAGCTGATAACAATGGAGGACGTGCTTTTGTTGCATTTTCCTCTCTTTCTTATATACATGTTCTCATCATTAAACAAGAAACAAACTTGGAAAATCAACAGAAATATTCGTGGAGTTGTGTGGGCCAGATAATAGCCCATCAAGACAAGATATCGGCAGTAACCTTTGATGAGTGTGCTTGTTTGCGTGTGGTTTCTTGTGGCTTTGATGGTTTAGTTCGACGTTGGAAGTATTTCAGTCAAGAATGGATGCTGGAGACCGAGTTTAATATACAAAAAGTGCGGGGAAATATCAACCCATCAGCTGTCAGCCGTTTCTCCTACTCTGCAAATGAGTCATTCAACTTCGTGGGCACAGATAAAGGATTGCTTTTAGTATGGGTTGTTAACGACTGTGAGACAAACAAATCTTACTATGTATCTAAAAAATTTGAAAACGATTGTGTTGTGATGTGCGCATGGGAGAAATCTGCAATAGTTCCTTCCATTTCGCGAGTTGCTGTCAGTTACAAAAAGGGGATTGTGTGTATTTATTCATTTAAACCGTCGGATGTTTCTTCAACTCCAAGCATCGTACAGTTGACCCGCTTTTATGCTCATGAGGCGGATATCTGTCATATTGTATGGCGCTCAAGTGCTTCTGCATCATCGTCAGATCCTGAGATTCTTACATGTGGACGTGATCAGATGGTTAAGGTGAGTGTTAGACAAAGTCTTCAATCAAATTTCAGTTTAATATTTTCTACTCCTTAGTGGGGGTTTCACTTCACTAAATTCACCGTCTTACTGTTAAAATACGTGTCAGTTAACTGTGTAGAAATGGTTGTACGCTGCAGCTTTTACAGTGTGGCAATCTATGGGATATGTGTTATGTGCGATATAGTAGATCACTTGCTTAGCTCTTGTTGTTTGAAATAAGTTCCAGCCAGTTATTCGTGTTGCAGGCTTCATGAGATCCCATTCGTCAAGCTCTTCGAAAAAATGGGCGATAGTTTTACCTCAAATACCGATGACAAGTATGTATGCTGAGTGAAACCTGCCAGTGTAAGGTTTTAATATCGAGTATTCATTGATTTTTACGTTTATGTTTTTGTCCAGTCAATAAATAATCATGTTTTTCAATCCCTTTTATTATATATCATTGCGTTCGCCTGACACGAGGTGTAGAAAACTCACATTATAAGTTAAGTACTACGCATTATAAAGAAAATATTTTTATGTATGGATAACATGTTCAGATGTCTAAGTGTGTATTGATTTGAGATACAACTAGTTTACACTCAGTATCAATGATAATTTGCAGTTACACTCACAACTAACCAATTAAATCTCCATTCTCGTTTGAATACTATAGTGGAATAGTGTGACCTGTTTCGCGTTCGTTTTTTCTGTGTCGGTGGCATAGCGGTTAGGACGCCCGCCGATCATACACATGGTCTGGGGTTCGCTCCCCGGCCGATGCACACCTGATATCAATGGTTGGCCTTCGAAATTTGGGCTGCCGATATCACATGCTGAAAATTCCATACGTGTATCAAAAATACTGTGTGGAGTCAAGCTACAATAAAAAAAATACTACTCAAGTTATTTCGTAGTAGGCATCAATACTGTTCTATATGTCCTACATTCCTTCAGTTTTATTTACTACTTAAATTTTTGGAGTGACATTTTTGTCGTTTAGGAACGGGTAAATTATGTAGTTTGATTTTGTGTTATCAGTTTAAGACACGAGTATTTAAGAGTCTGTAAACGGAAACTGAATCCTATAATCAATATTCATGTGTATGTGAAACTAAGGCATAGTAACTAATTAATTCGTCAGCAGCTGTCTCAGTCTACAGGATGCCACTCAGACACTGGCAACTGGAATCTTAAGGAAATTTAGGCTTCTTTCCCAGTCCGATTATAACCCAGTGACATCAAATTGTTAATTATTTCTTAACATTTTTACGTTATGTATGATGATGACTTTTATCGTTGTTGTGTTATGAATAGAAGCAAGTGGAACAAATGAATTCGTCCAACATATGATATCATTAATGCACAGTGTTTAACGAATAGCTGATTCCATGTTTCCTGATATTTAAATGATGCTATTTATTAGGGGTATGTTTATCCATGTAAACTAGACAGATATTTCTAGGTATTTCATCTTGTGTTCAGCGATATTTTTCATATTATTGTCAGACACGATGCACGATAATGTGGGTGAAAACATAGAGAGTCGTTACATCATTTTTTCGTATATCCTTTTATTGATTAGTAATTGGACATGTGATGGGCAGATTTTGACTTAAAACAACTATAACTTTAAAGGTCAAACGGCATTTGTTTACAATTCTAGTGGTTGCATATGTTTGCAGATAAATTCGGAATTTTCAGTGATCGACAATGGTAAAATTGGTTGAAACACTCTCGATCTTCGATCTTCTTAGGTAGATGCACTGTATTTCTCTTATTCGGTCTGCCTTTTGAAGCCAAGAAACATCATATATGAACTAATTAAGTATTTATTCCGACTCCACACTTTAAATATGCTTACACTTCTGACAACACAAAGCGGCTAACGACCATCTCAAAGTTTTTTATTTTCTGTTTTTTATTCATTTACGTTCTCACTGGAACATAGGGCTTCAAGCTAGAGACTTGAAGTTTCTGTAGCAGTGGTGATTATTTTTACAGGATGGGGTTGCTAGCCTCATGCCCAACCTTCCCTCCTGACCAGTCTCACTACTGGCTTAGCGAGGTAAAGGAGTCCGTGAGCCGGGAATCGAACCCCGGACCACTTGCGTAGTTGGCGAGCACTCAACCTCTGTGCCACCGACGCACAAAAGTGTCAGTATCATTACTAAATTCTTCCTCTAATTTCCCAGGGGAATTTCACTTTCTTCGGCATTATGATTATTCCTGCTTCTATTAGCCGACAGTTTCTACTTCGTATTTACTCGTGTTTTAAAGTATGTTATGTCGTTCTAGTAATCGTATTCTTAAACTTAACAGGGACTGAATAGTTTCGTTTCTATTAGTTGTATTCCTGTAAAGAAATTTGAACAAATGCCTCTTATCCATTAAACGTTTATGTTTTCCCATGCTAATGATATTCTTTCTCCCGTGCATTTCTGCACATTATAATTCCCTTGAATCTTTCTTTGTTTTTTTTCTCTAACTTTTTGAGCTACATATAGTGTGGCAACAAACTTCTGTCGGTACTACTGTGTAAAGTTGTATGCTGAAATCCCCATTTCTGTTTAATTTCATCGTAGATGTACTAATGGACCTAGTCCTGACTGACTTCAGCGGCTCAGATTGTCTTGTTACCATGACTATGTGGATGATGTAGTCATCCTTCGTAGATGAAGACGCTGGAAAAATACAGAGTCTTGTAAACACCTTGAGCAGCAGTCGTCGAATGTTTGGCATGCGATTCGCTCTTGTCACACTACAGGGCTGCACTACATCGATTCCTAGCTTAAAGATAGGTAGGAGTGAAGTGGTAGAGCGTGTTGACCACTTCACTTATTTGGAAAGTTGCATTAGCCAGTCCCAGTGCGTTGATTGCTGACCAAATCCCAGCACGGATACAGAAGACTTGTTTGGCATTTTCCCGCCAACTTGAACCGTCTCTCGCCTAGACGTGATATCTGGCTGGCTGTCGACCAAAGGACGTGTAAATTGCTCACCAGTTGACTCCCACCTACTCCCTTATAGATGTGAGTGAAACGTGACCACTGACAGTGAAAGACATGAAAAGCCTGACTAGCTGTCTTTCATCATACGTGTCTGTGTCTTACTTACATCCCGTGTTAGGTGGTATGGTATGATAGGGTGAGTATTATTGTATTGAGATTAGGCATCTGTCGAGTTTTAGGTAAGGAGGCAGGGGAAGACAACCGACGAGGTTGTGATGTTGCATCGATTGATATGGCTAGGACAGGTGTTACGCATACTAGCCTACCCATCGATCGCCTTCGTCGACAGGCAATCTTACCTAGCTGACATAGGATCGGCGAGGTCGGAGAAAAGCTAGTGGTGGTGAAACGAAAACACGACATCAGTCAACAAAATCCATAACAGTTGGTTTAAGCCAGCCAGCCAGCATTATTTTTCGTGTATCTGTGTGAACACACATACATAGGGAGGAGTAATCGTGCTTTGTATGTGAGGGTGGGAGAGCATATCCTGCAATGGTTTGAAAAACAAATGAATTGTGGAAAACCAATAGATGCAGGTGTCAGACTACCAACTTCGTCTATAGCTAAACATCTAATCGAGATTAACCATAAGGTTGATGTTTACTCAGCCTTTAAGGTCATCTATAAAAAAATGGTCAAGGGCACTTATTGGAATACGCTGAAGCTATAACTACTCATAAACTTAATTCTCCCCCGTGTATTCAAAAACAGTTTATTATTACTCTTAACCTACCTTGGTAATCCTTATTTGATTGGATTACTAAACGTTGTGCTAATCATTCTGAAGTCCTTTTTTGTCACTTTGTTTAATTTAATTGCCCTTAATTTTTTTCATATATATATCGACTTGACAAGTAAATGTGTGAGGGATCAGATTGTTCGAAATGTAAAGCGGGAATACACCACATTTTCCAGATAATCTCCGTCTTCTATTAACACTATTCAAATATCCAATGAAACTCTATTGTTCTTTCGGATTACTGTTTTTTCCCCTGACTCACACTTTTGTTTATTATATATCTGTAGTTTGTTGTCATGCTGTGTGTGCTACGTGGAGTGCGGGAACTCGAACTGCTGCACATCTGTTCAAAGTTCTGTGTTGAAACGAGTCTGTCATTCAGTAATATATTAGTATATTCATATGCACTAGGACACCATTTTTGCTAACGTAGTATTTGTTTTGATTTCTGTAAATAGGTATGGAATGTCACCACTTCAGAATGCACTTCATCTTACCAAGTTCCCGGTGAATTACGTCAATAATGTGGAAATGCTGGACGACATAACGAGAAAAGTGAACAAAATGGAGCTCCATGGATATCTGCTTGCTACACACCAGGAAGTGATTCGTCAGTGAATGTTTTATTCTCAAGTGTCCGAGGTGGATTATTTTACTGGGATTGCAAAGGAACGCTTAGCTGTATGTCGCTTGACAGTCAAGGACATTCTATGCTAATTTTCTCAATGCACTACTTTCTTAATTCACCAGGACTGGTAATCACTTTGAGTCAAGATAGATTTTTGATTGTTTGGCAGTTGGTGGAAGGATCTAACCTGTCAGTGGTCCTTAAAGTACCTACAATGTCTGCAGGTGTTTGCTCTTTAGCTCAATCTGAATTTAGCAATGGTCCCTTAGTCGCAGGTCTTTCGGACGGTTCCATCATATTTTGGAAGTTTCCTGCACCAGAATTGTTTGGCGAAAGAAATTCTTCTGATAATGAAAACAGAGAAACAAAGTTTGTTTCAATATCACCTCGAGGATGCAAATCATCTTCGATAACCACGCTGTCTTGTCATCCTTTACCGCAGTTTGAGAATGTTATTGCTTATGGCACTGAATCAGTTTGTGTGGAGATTGTAGATATTAATAAGCTACGAAGAATGAAATCACAAAAGCGTGAACCGCAGCTGAATGCATTTGGTTCAACTGTATATCGAGTTGCCTGGGGGCCTTTACTATTTTCTGATATATATCGTAGAAAGGCAAATGAAAGTGAAGAGAGAGCTAGCGAGATCAATCAGTCGAAATCTGATAATTCTAGCATTTCAACAACGCATATAATTGCACAAGAAGATGAGAATTCCGCCGAGGATAACGAAGCCTCATCTAAGTTTTCTTTCTACGTTTACAGCATAAGTAAGGGTAAAAGATACTGTCATTTTGGATGCAGTCGTCCACCAATTGATGTTAGCACAAAATTCCCCCGTTTTCCGGATACTACAGATGAAGACTAGAAAGCATTGATCCGTAGTGAGATATCATTCCGTCTTGTCAGTAAATCTGAACTACCGGGTATCGATCTAATTGCTGATACTTTTAGCTGTTTAGTAGCTGTTGGTTATCGTTCAGGTGAAGTTAACATTTATGGTTTCTTACGTTCGAACTCATCAAATTGTGAGGAAGAGGTGGTGGAGAAGGAGTCTAGACGACTTGTCTTTATTTGTCGTACTGTGAATCATTCGAAGTGTGTTAACTGCTTAACTTGGTCACGAGATCATTACTGGTTGGCTGTAGGTTCCAATGAAACCTTTATCACTGTCACAGATGTCAAAATTCAATTAATCAACTACCTTAATCAAGGCGGATACTGTAAGCTGCCGATTGAACTGTCTACTAGTTTAGCTCGTTTAGAAGGACATTACAACAGAATCACATGTCTAGATTGGTCTCCACACGATCCATTTCTCTTATTATCTGCTTCCTTTGACGGTACAGCTAATGTTTGGAGAATTCATCCTGAAAATATTGAAAAAGATAATTTTTCAATCTCTAATTTTCGTGCACTTCGTTCACGTCATTTTGCTTGTCTATGGAGTCGTCAAGAGCCTGATCTTGCATTCAGTGGTGGTGAATTATGTCATTTATTCGGTTGGCAACCCTCCGAACAACTCTTCAGTCAACCGCCGCACACTCGCCGACATCGTCCATCCACTGTTAAAAAACTTGTAAATGATCAAGAAGCACCGTCCAACGGAGATATTTTGTGTTGTGAGCCTTTTCCAACAGAAACAAAGTCCCTTCCTGATTCTAAAGCACTAAATGACGAAGAGTTAGAACAAAAGAAAGTAATAATAAAATCGAATGACATCCTACCTAATGGTACTTCTCATCAAGAAATGTCTATTCCACGACAGTGTAATTCGTCTCGGAAAGTAAATTCTGCTGGCATTCGTGATAAAAGGAAAAGACCTGCTCTTTTTCCTAATTTATCCAATTTTATGAATACTACTAATACTAATAATTGTGAATTAGATTTAGATAACTCTCCACCCATTCAACTAGGATGTTTTCTTTCACAAATTTTAAATGCTTCAAATTTCGTAAGTGAACAAATGAATGACAAACAAGTACAAATTGATTTGTTACTTCTACTCCCACAAGCTCGTATGACTCGTACACGCCTTTTAAAATATCTGAATATGGAGGCGTCTGGTCACTTGAAGTCATTTCATTCTCAACAAAGACCTAACAGTCTTGTGCATTTGGATGCATATTGTATTATATTATTATGGATAGGTCATGTGGTCACGGTGGCATGTATTATGTCTTCAGAAGATCATATGCCTTTTTGGCTATTGTATGCAGTTCAACTATCGTTTTCTTCAGGTGGATCTTCTGGAAGTGTGGAATTTGATTTACTCGGTGAAAAGGTGAGTGATTTACATATTTAAACGAGAAATACAATCAAAACATTCATAGACGAATATGCATTTATACTTTTCAGATTTTCATCGTTTAACTTCTTTGAAATGTGTAAATTTCAGCCAGACACTAAGCAATTACAGGCGACATTATCTCTCTAGTTACAAGCAAAGCAAATGACGAAGTTCCATAGGAAACCTTCAGCGGGACCAAACTAATCCTCAGACTAAATCAAGTGACTGAAACTCAGCACGCATACAGAGGGCTGGTTTCTCATATGCCAGCTTACGCCGTCTCTGGTGTAGACGTGATATCCGGCTATCGACCAAACGATGTATGTACTGCTCAACAGTCCGCTCCGTTGTCCTTTATGGCTGTGAGACCTGGCCATTGAAAGTGGAAGGCATGAAAAGCACGGCTAGCTGTCTTTGATCATAGGTGTCTGCGTTCTACCTCCCGTGGGAAGTGGTAGGTGTAATAAGGTGAGTAATATTGAGGTTAGGCGTCGAGTGCTAGGTAAGGAGGGGAAATCAATCGACGAGGACATCGACTGAGATTGTTAGGACATGTGTTACGCATATATTGCTAGCCATCGCCTTACTCGACAACAGGCAATGTTAGTTGACATAGGATTGTTCAGGTTGGAAAAGAGCCAATGGTGGTCAAACGGAAACATGGCCTCATCAGTCAATGAAATTCACAACAGTTAGTTTAAGCTAGCCATGTAGGAAGGTGTAGACTTCCTGACTGGTTGGGGTCCTCGAGACGGTAAACACCAATGGCAATGGTTGGAAACAATTGGTGACATGGCTCAAAATCGTTCTAAGTGGCGCAGATGCATCCACTCCTTGTGACTTATGATTTCCAATGAAACTGTTTTGTTCTCCGTTATTACTATTCCTTTGTCTCATACCTCTGTTTACTGACTATATTATGCATTTCTTCTACTTTCTTCTCTTGCTTTGTGTGCTACATGGAGTGTGGCGACTTGAACTGCTGCACATCGGTGCAAAGTTCTATGTTGAAACCAGTCAGTCACTCTAGCCTGTAAAAACGATGTTGGATATTGTATGCTTAGGCCGCCTAACGGTTTCAATTAGTTAATTCAGTTTGATATTTCTCAAGTTTTATTCGTCAGTGTATTTTGAAGCTACCAGTGTTTGGTTATTTTCTATGGTATTATGTAAAGAGAGGCAACTAGTCAATCTGGCTATGTACTGTTTGTTACGTGGTGGTGGGCAGTATATGTGTTACGCATACGGAGCTACCAGTTGTTTTGACTGTGCAGTTGCGAGGACTCGTAGGCGTAGGGATGGCTGGCACTGAATGTTGGGGCAGAAAAATCCTGTATTGACTGGATCCTTGGAGATAGCCATATTTGTGCTGTCTGTGTGAACGGGCCCGTTTGAAGAAGAAAAAACTACGTTACTCGTTGGTGTCTTTTCATAGTCTCTGCTTACCACCAAATGGACTGCAGTTCGGATGAATTAAAGAATCATTCCTACGAAAATCTGTCTAGTTTGATGTATAAAGCAAGACACTCAGACGTAGTGATTTTAGCTGGCAACTTCAATGCTCAAGTAGAAAAGTTATGCGGGAGTTCCCTGCCGGTGAACTGTGAACGGTGATCGTCTTCTACAAATCTCTTAAGATAATCATCTGTTCCTAGTCAGCGCTAACTTTAGGCACATAGAGAGACAGTGTCTATGCTGGCGACCTCCTTAAACGAATCATCGTTGGACTCAAATAGACGACACAGTGGTGGAGGTCAGTAGAAGGCTACCACTCCTTCTTAAACACGTTTGTAGACTCCTATCACGTCCTGGTTGGCTCAGGTTCATGTTTACGATTGATTGTTTCGACTAGGCATGTTTGCTTGAAATAGCATTGAGTTGTGCGACGTATTATTTGGAGTGATCAAACATAACATGGCAGGAATCCATGGAGTCACTGACTTTGTTTGAACTATGTAGCGCAGTTTAGCTTACGCAACTATAATCCTTGAGGTACCGAAGTCAATGGTCTGTGACACTTGGGAACATCATGGAAGGTCATTCACAATGTGATATATTTACCTTTTGCCATCTTTCACATTTGGTCCAATGGTAATCATTCTGTTTTTTGTTATTGTAATTACATTTCTATCTGTAAGAATAAAACTTGTGCACTGTGGTAGAATGTAATTCCATTGTGGGTAAAATATATTTTGATAAAGTCTCACATTGTTATACAGTAATATTTACGAATTATTACTCATAATCATATCAAGACACTACTCATACAACTTTCTAACTTCGTTTATATAATTCCATTATTTTCCATAGCTTGATTTGATTGATCGGTCGGTCGGTTTTCGACATAGATCTTTGCACCGATATGCGGCAGTTCAAGTCGCCACACTCCATGTAGCACACAAAGCAAGAGAAGAAAGCAGAAGAAATGCATAATATAGTCAGTAAACAGAGGTGTGACTGGCTGACTTGTTTCAACGTAGAACTTTGCAGAAATGTGCAGCAGCCCCAGTTGGCACACTCTCCATGTACTACACAAAGCCAGAGAAGAGAGTAAAGAGAGATAATAAACAAAAGTGTGGGTGAGAAGAGGAGAATAGTAATATGAA